TTGCTCAGCGACAGCGAGTTGACGACGGGCTGCTAAGAATCTAAGGTATTCTACGGATGTTGTCGTGAAATGACTTCGGCCTGTTGATATGCCCTTCAGTTGCAGGCTACCGTTAGGGGAGGAATTCAAGAACCATCTTTTCTAGAAAGTCGGTAGAACATCGTGTGGTGCCCTCGGTGTATGTGCTTGTGTGTGTTTGCTTGTGTGTATGTGTGTGTATGTATGCCTGTGTGTGCACGTGTTTGCGTGAACCACGGCAAAGGACCGAAAACTTAAAAAGGTGGAAAAACGATTTGGCTGGCAATGCAAGGAAGGGTAAAGGAAGTTGGCGAAATTGGATTTATCGTCAAATTTTGAAGCATCGCCTGTGTCCTTAAAGTATCGGAACCGGACTGACTGCGTCCATCTTTTTATGCGTTTTTTGCAGCTAGGCAATGCAAAAACGCATATTGTCAAGGGGTTGTCTGTGTGTGTGTGTCTGTGTGTGTATGTATGTATGTATGTGTTTATGTGTCTGTGTGTTTGTGTGTTCGTCTGTAACGAGTTTTCATCTCGAGATCCACAAAAGCTGCAAGGTTGAAAATTTGGTGACTTAATCTACATATACGTGCGGGCTCGCATCCTCAAAATGGACGCTCATGCCCACGTGGTTCTCACGCAGGGGCATGTGAAAGTTTTTTTTTGGCGGGAAAACTTTTTCGAGAACGGCCCATGGCGGGAGGCTGGAACTTCACAGAATTGTTCCTTGACCGCGTCTCATCCAAAGATTTCAAATTCAGCCTTCACACACCTCCAGGTCTCACGTGTGCACACGTCAAAGTTTAAACTGGCATCATGCCAACTGCAGATTTAAGCTGACCGATAAGTTGCAGGGAGCTGCAATTTTGTAGCGTTACTTGTCGCGTAATGTTGTGCCCGTGTAAGTAAATTACTTGTCAGCTGTTCTGCATCTCACGCACGAACACGTGAAAATTTCGCGCGCGCGCTTTTGTAACTTCAGAATTGAACCAGCCAGAGGACCTGAACTTTCTGAGCATAGCCGACGGTGACCCTTGACCAAGTGCACGCAAAAGCGACTTGCACATCACTTTTACGCGTCACGCATGTTTCACGTGTACACGCGTGAAATTTGACGTAACTCTGCAACCAGAGCAGCTGGAGTGCTGAAACTTTTTGAGCTTTACCTAGAACTGATTTTGAGCAACTGCGGGTGAAGGAAGTATTCACGTGTACACACGTGAAATTTGAAGTAACTCTGGAACCAGAGCAGCTGGAGTGCTGAAACTTTCTGAGCCTTACCCAGGGCCGTGTTTGAGCAACTGCGGACGAAGAAAGTATTCATGTGGCCACTCACGTACGAACACGTGAAGTTTGACGTAACTCCGCAACTAGCGCAGCTGGAGTGCTGAAACTTTTTGAGCCTTACTCAGGACCGTGTTTGAGCAACTGCAAGCAAAGAAAGTATTCACATGGCCGCTCACGTGCGAACACGTGAAATTTGACTTAACTCTGCAATCAGAGCAGCTAGAGTGCTGAAACTTTCTAAGCGCTGCCCAGGACCGTGTTTGAGCAACTGCGTGCGAAGAAAGCATTCACATAGCCACTCACGTATGAATACGTGAAATTTGACGTGACTCTGCAACCGAAGCATCCAGAGCACTGGATCTTCTGGGTGTGGATTGTGAGTCATTGTAATAATTCATAACAGTCGTGGTGGCCAGTCCCAATTCTTTTAACTGGAAGTATTTGCCAGGAAGGAAGTACCACCGGCAAAAAGAACCTGCGGTGGGAACTTTGCAAAAAACGCATCCTCGTGCCGGCAGCCGGTACGCTTTCTATTAGGTTAATATATTGCTGTACTGAAGGCAGTGACGTATGGATGCAACACACATTCGCTAATGAAACTGCGTGACGAGCGCTGGTTGTGTTGGAGAAAATGATGGAGGGATGAATGCTTCACGTACCTCTTAGTTTTCATAAAAACAATCAGACTCTTTATCAGATAAGCGACGTACAGGATGTGATTGTGACTACGCAAGATAGGACATATTGCTCGCCCTACTGACAGCAAACGGACGTTGCGCATTAGTAAATCGTACCTGCAAGAACGAAAGCAATTACTCTGTGGCCTTCGAAGAGATAGCGCAAATACTTCGAACAGAAGTCAGCACCAACTGGGTGTATGCAGTCCAGGATTGAAAGGTCCAGTACAGTTGCGCCTGACATGTTAGGCCATCTCAGTGACATCATTACACGAGCTCCTCAAGTGTTTGGTGGTCTTGGTATTTCTCTGTATTATACTCTTATTAACAAAGCCAAAATCCCTTTGTATTCGCTCTTTGGGAGAGACAGCAGAGGCACTCGAGAATAGTTCGCTGGCAAAACCATCGATAGCTCCCTCTTTCGAGGGCTGTTGAGAAACAGGCTGGTATCGGGTTTGACTTCCTGACACTTGCCAATGCCAGTAAACGACTGATCGAATGACGGGAAATGTTTGGTTGTCCCATCGGTGGAGTCCGCGCTTGATCTACTGCGCGACGGTTTGCTGAAAATCAGACTGAATGTAAAATCATCATTAAACTGAAGGCCTGCAATGAAAGGTAATGCCGACATTTATGATAAGCTATAAATTAAAATACACTTTATACGGTTGGGTACTTTGTTCTTTTTTCGGTGCTCGGTACAGTCGTGTTCTTTTTTGGATATGTTTGTTTGCTGCCTGTCATTATATATTCAGCTGATAACAAACAGTCTTAAAAAGAATGTACCAATATAGCCAGTGTATTAGGTGCACTTTCTACTTTTGTGGGCAGAGCATCGAAGATCACTAGCTCTGCTTGCCAACATTTTTTCTACACAGCCTGCTTTTTAAAAAATAGCTTTAGCCCCACCAATGCTCTTTTTTGCAGATGGGCAGATGAAATTTCAATAAATGGACGAAATTTCAGTCACCCCTTTTTTCAGGTACAGTTCTGCATTTTCACGATTCCTCTTCTTGTTCGCAAAAAATATGGTCGTA